TCCCACCCCCCCAACTGGCACCCGCCCTCCTACCAGTGGGTGAGTTTTTGTTTGTTAAATTTTTTTAAAATTAAACAAAACAGTTTTTAAATAAGGTAAACCCTTTCATGCGCATTTTGGGAAATACTATTCGGACGGTTTATTGGACGGTGCATCATGTGTTGACCTTGAACCAGAAAAGAATCAAACATTTCTCCCAACGCTAATAAAACAATAGTAGTAGAAAAAATAAAAAAAATAAAAATTAAAAATAAAAAAAATGATAGAATTGAAGAAAAAAATTTGGGACAAAAATACAAAGGGAAGTGGTTGACACATGCCCAGTGTGGTTTTTGTTTATGCGGGGATTTGAGCATTAGTCCCCGTGCTTTTCCCAAAAACATTTCACAAAAATTCTTTGGGTTTTTGGTGCTTGTAGATTGAGTGCCACGGGAGTGGTGGGCAGGGGTTTGGGGGAAGCTTTTTGGGGGCATTGGGTAAAGGCATTTAAAGTGAGGCAGCAGTTGGGGCCCAGCATTTTGAGGCATGGGTAAGGCCCAGGGGGGTTAGCATGGGGAGGAAATGGTTGGGGGCAGGGGAAATTTAATAACATACATTTTTTAAAATAAAAATTAAAAATTTAAAATAATAATAATAAATTTAATAATAAATGTTATTAGAAATTTATAAAAAAAAAAAATTATTTAAAAAACCATGTTTTTAAACCCCTTTCAGGGTCCGCCCCTTTAAATTTCAAGGGCTTTATGTTGAGTGTCCAAACCGTAGATCTACCCCCAAAATTTCTAGCCCGTCAAATTTAGCGCAAAAACCTAAATAGGCCTACTTTGTTAAGAAGGGGCCCTTGTGGGGGGGGGTGTCGCCAAAAACCAAAAAACTAGGCCCCCGCATAGAAATTGTGGGAACCCCCGGCTCAGTCCCCTTGTTCACCATGCCTCGTGGCAAGTCGCTCTCACCCCCCGGAAAAATTTTGGGACTCCCCTTTTTCCTATCTGATAGTTCTGACACTGTTGGAAGTGGAAATAAAAGACAAATTTCTATGGCTTTGATCATTTAAAGGGCCCGGGAAAAGAATGACCAGGTTATCGAAAAAGGGGCAGAAAACCCTGCGACCCCTCAACCTTCTACCTTTTGGTGGGGGAAATCGTGACTCACAGTCGGTTTTTTCCTCATCGAAAGAGAAAACAAATATTTTCCCCGTGGCCAGCCCTCGACTTCAGTAATGATGAGGATAGTGACGTGGCCCTGAGATTTTTATTGCCCCTCGACGCTCAATCAAATAGGATAGTGAGGAATTTTTTCCCACCATTGAACCCTTTGGGAAATTTTTCCCCGCCGCATGCACTGGGGTAGTGTCCCCTATGCTGTGCCCAGGGGACGGGAAACACCCCGGGGTTAACACCCCGGAGAAACACCCAAGTACATCCCGGGGCCAACCCCATTTTTGGGTAGTTATAGTGAGGATGATGTGGCTACACTTGGAGGGGATAGACCACAGGCATCAGTGGAGGGGTGTTAGTGGTAAAGGTTTAGTGGCACCCCCATGCGTGACTCACCAGGCCCCCTTTGGGACCCACGCTGCGGGACTCGTCAGTTAAAGGGCCCAAAGGGAAAGCGCCAGCCACCACCCCACCAAACCCAAACAACCCACCCGCACAACCAGCCTAGGGTTTGTCCAGTTTTTTCCACCAGCAAACTGATGTGGGTTTGGGGCAGCAAAATCCCAATTTTGTTCCCAACCCCCCCATTTTTGTTTTGTTTCCCAAAAGTGGAATTCCCCCAAACTTGCCCCCTTGGAACCACGGCCAATGAACTGGAATTCTTTGAATTATTTTTTGACCAGCCAATTTATGGAAAAATTTTTTTCAGGGAAAGTAATAAGTTTTTTTGAGTACACCATGGCAAATACCCTCTTAACACCACAGTCAAGACTACACAGGGGAAAGAGACGGGCTGTTTTAGAAAAGAAATTTTTTTTTTGCAACAAAAATGCTTATGCCCCCACGTTTTATAAAGGGTAAAATAAAAGCATACTGGTCCACAGATCGGCTAATTTTACCCCGGGGTTTTTATGAAAAACATTTCCAGTGAACAGGTTTTCCTACTCTTACGTATGTTGCCCCTTCTCTGACAAAAAACAGGGCCCCCACAGAAAATGACAGGTTATAGATTAGAAAAGTTTTTATGTATCTCAAACAAAAAATTCAGCATATAAAATTTTTTTCCATTCAAGAATTTGTAATTGACGAGTCTTTTATTTTGTTCAAAGGTTCCCCTGTCATTCCCCGGGGTATATTCCGAGCAAAAAGGAAAAGCCTTTTGGGATAAAACTGTTTTTTACTCGTGAGTGTGACAGTGGGTTGGTGTTTGGGTATTTTTGTATACACGGGTAATAAAACATTTTAAAGATACCAAGGAAAGTTATTGGGGAAACTCAAAGGGGACGTAAGGTGAGAAACATGGAGGGCCCCCTTATCTTGGTAAAGGGGAAAAATTATTTAAACGATAAATGGGACACAAGCCCCTTAAAATCATGATTTTTATTTCGAGTGAACAAACAGATGTGTGTGGCCAGTGCGTTTTAAACGGGAAAAAATTGCCCAAAGGGTCAATGCAGGTGCTCGTTGGGGATGGGCGTAGGGGTTTAATGCCCAAGACATCATGGGTTTCCCGGGGGGCAAAACAAACGAGAGGGCACATTTTGCCAAAAACCCTTCACCGTAATGAAATGCAAGACCCGTGGAAAAATTTTATCGATTTACTAATGAACGTATTCGAAAAAAACCCGGGAAGTGATTGATTTAACAAAAACATGCGCTTGGTTCAAATGTACATTTTTAATGCCAATGCAAAAATAATATGTACCCCAAAAAAAGACTTCAACAGACCCCCGTATGGGAATTTTGTTTGTCTGTTGTCAGAAACTCATTTTTGAAGTACCAGGTAACAACACCTCTATAACACGGTCCCCGAATTCCCCAGGATATACCCAAAACGTTTGAGGGGGGAAGGTTGATCAATTTTTATAATACAACTTCCTTCAATCAGGGAAAAAATTTTTCTAGAAGAGATGGGATCGTCGTGCACAAACAAAAAGACGGCAACAAAGACGCAAAGACACTCGGTTTATGTGTGAGGAATGAAAGGGTGCCTCTGTGCATGGTGCCTTGTTTCAAGGAGTTCCACAACTCCAGCAGTTCAAAAAACCATGTCCAGTGATTGTAAATATGTAAATATATGAATAGAACATTAGTATTATACAAGATTTGTGCATGTTTATTGTAATAAACACAGGGGTAAAAAAAATAATATGAAAAACTTTAGTGCGGTTATTGTGTTAAATTTACAGTGAGTTTATATATATACATTATATACAGTATTGGTCTCTCAGGCCCCAAATGTTAGTAGGAATAGAAAAAAATTGGAAAAGAAAAGAAAAAAAACAAAAAAAAACCGCAAAAATAATGTAAAGCGCGTATGTGGAATTCGTTGATGTTGCCGCCACCACATCATTTGGACAAACTTCTTGGCACTGTATCCCCGGTAAGTACTGATCAGAATTTTTTTTTTTTGTCTTATTACCTTCACAAAAATATGCTTTTTAAATTTCCCGTAAGAAAAAATAATTTTTTTTTTTTTTCAAAATTTCTTGGACACTGGAGCACCACTTCAGATTTTGGCCTTGGACCTGAAGGGTTAAATACCACTGCCTCAACTGTTCCCCTCTACCATTGCTCAACCGCTGCTCAACCCGGCCTTCTCCCGTGCCTCAACCCTGCCTCACCCACTACCTCAACCACTGCCCACCCACGCCTCAACCACTGCCTCAACCATTTTTTCCCACCCACTGCCTAAAACCACTGCCTCATGCACTCCCTCTCCCATTGCCTAAACCCACTGCCTCACCCACTGCCTCACCCACTGCCTAAACCACGGCCTCACCCAGACCCTGCCTCAATAACCATTGCCTCAACTGCTGCCTCACCCAATGCCTCAACCGCTTCCCCAACCCCCTGCCTCTACCACCCCAGTCGCAATCAATCTACAAGCACCAAACACAATGAATTATTGTGAAATGTTTGGAAGAGCAGGAGACTATTGCTCACTTCAGCATAAACAAACCCAAACTTATGATGTGCCAACCACTCCTTCGTATTTTTGTACAATTTCCTTCTTCAATTCTATCGTATTTATTATTATTATAATTTATTATTATTATTTATATTATTAGTATTATTACTACTACTACTATATGTTATTATTAGCAGTAGCAGAAATGTTTGATTCTTTGCTGTGTTCAAGAGTCAACACATGATGTACCGTCCAATACCTGTCCAAATTATTTATTCCCAATATGCAGTCATGAAGGGGTTTACATTATTTTTTACTGTAGTTTAATAGTAAATAATAAAACAAACAAAACACTCACCACACTGGTAGGAGGGCTGGCTCCCAGTTGGGGGGGTGGGAGGGGGTATGGGGACTCGCAGTGGTCGAGGAAGTGGAGGCAGTGGTGAAGGCAGTGGTATTTAATAACATACCTGTTATTAAACCATAACATGTATGTATTTAGTACAATTTACGATGTTTTCATGTATTTTATGATTTTTCATGGTTCAATAAGTTAAGGAAGAAGTATTGTATTATATTTCCCTACAATATATTCGGGCACCAAACATTCGCGATTTTTCAACATTCGCGAGGCTCTTGATCCCCTAACCCTCGCGAATGTTGAGGGAGACCTGTATAATAGTTTTTCATATAGTACTGTAAAAGTTATAATGTACTTATTCACTTATACAGCCAATGATCTGAAACCCACTTAAGTCACTAAAAGAATGATGTACTTTATATGAAGTTCAGAGATGAACATTATATATTGAATATGGAAGAATAAAATAAAGTTGTGAGGCAGCAAAGTGTTTTGAAGCAGTGATGTAAGCTGTAGGAAATTATTACATTAATCAATAAGTACAGTAGTTATTGTTTTCTTAAATGCACAGGATTCCAAGTTTGACATTGCCCAGGTGATTGACTATTTCCGTCGGAAAACAGATGGGGATTTAGCCATATACTATGATATGGAAGAGTCAGAGCCCATTTCATCAAGAGGTATTGTTGAAGTTTGCCATCAGACAAATAAGTATGTAGTAAGTCTATTACAGTAGATTTCTTTACATTTGAATTATATTCTTTGTGATTTGTTTTATTTGTCTTAATGTTTTTCTCTCTCTCTGGGTCTTTATAAACATTTGCTAATGATACTTTTATTTTCATATATACTCTTTTGTCTTTTATGTGAAATATTTATGGTAGTATTTTACAGCTGAGCTCTACTGTAAACAGTATCTTTATTCTTAGTTTTTATTACAAAATGCAATAGCAGTTATGGAAAATCTTAATTAATCTTTATTTTTAGATAAAAATATTGAATAAAAATTATGATAGCCAATAATGCTTAACTGGTATAATTAAAATTTTGAGACAGGCTAAAGCAACTGAAAACTCATTTAAAATGTAATTTATGTTTGTTTCTAGGATCTTGAAGTTCTTAGAGAAGCCTTTACCAAATGTAACTGGCTCTCGAAATGCCAGTGTAGTCTTTTACACTTTCCGGAGTGAGACAGTGGCATTGGTTCCAGTGTATTTGGGTGAACATCTGAAGACTACACAGCGTACATTTGGCGCATTTATGGAATGGATTATAAATGTGAAAAAGGTTCTGTTTATTTCTCTATTTCTAATAATTGTTTTTATAAATAAGAGGTCTTGACACTTTAAGCCTGTATAGTATTTCATGTATTCAAAAATTGATGAAGAAGGTTGAAAAATCTGACTGGATTTATAATGATACTAATCTCTGCTAGCCTCTTGTTGAGTGTAGGTGGAAACGCTAACCTAGATCATATGCAAGTGAGATTTATACTCTGTCACTCATCTTTCTTGCAATAAGAATAATTTTAAGACATTCCTATGGAAACTGCAGCATTAAGGCAAGATTTTTGGAATGACCCTGAATCAGGCTTAGCTTTAACAATGAAGGACTGTTAATCTTAGAACCTTAAAATGAACTAATCTGTATGGAAAGACAAGCACACTTATTGTAGAATAAGTCCTTATTAGACAGTGTTTTACTCAAATGAGTGAACTATGTAATAAAGGCTTGCTCTATGATAATTGTCTTTGTTTTACCATACTTTTCAGCATTTCACCTTGTAAGCACTAATTATTATAAACTAACACCTACACTGGTAGGTGTTAGTTTATGGGATGAAGCTGCCCACAGGTTTCCAACTTATTGGACAAGTAGGACTGAAGGATTATGAGTCTTGGGTGTCTTACTTTGCTAACCAAGAAGAAAATGAATGTAGAGATCCTATTACTATGAACATATGTAGGGAAGTCCCATATTAATTTT